CTAACAAGCACCCACATAAATGTACTTACGTCTTACGCTAATGTTGATGGAATGCAACATTCTTGTCCAACAAGCATACAAACTATGTGCAAGTCTTTTATGGATTATTCGATATCCCATCTCGAAACATCCATCGACTTGGAACTGTATTTAAGATCACGGCTTTCAAGGTATGTTCCATGATCACCATCTCTATGCGCAACCATACCTTATAACCATAAGTGATCTAGGGATTTTATCTTAAGTGCAATTATAAGATAAATGCTTTCTCTTAAGATAAAGAAATGCCTTATTCATAATATAATTCCAATAGACTGTATTTACATGTAGAATACGTCCAATTAGATTGGAACGCCGGGTACCCTACTCTAACAGCTAGAGGGTCTTTGGGGTTAGGTGTTAGGTTACAAATTGGGGATAACATGGTTGTTAGGGACTGGGATTCTCCATGGATCCCACCTGTACCCTCTTTCAAGCCTTGCTATCACTTTGTTGTAGTACACCATAAAGAAAATTTTTATGTGTGCTTTTATAATGTATTTAATTAATTTCCCAGTTGACTGAAATAAATGTTTTTACATTGTTGCACTCTTTATGATTGTTTGTCTATTAAATGTCCTATTATCTTATATGGTAGATAATGTTGTATATTAGTAGTCACACAGAAGATCACATTGTCCGATCTTTATAAGATATAAATTGTATTCAAAATTGAGATAGTTATGGACATGACTATCGGTTTAGGTTGTAGTATAAACTGAATGTAGTTTGTCTTGGTTATTAGCTTATACTAGTGCGGTGCGTCGCATTGAAAAGATCACAGTTGAGACGTGTTCTTCTAGTCTGACTGTCATGAAAAACCAAGGTCTTGGTGACTCTACTAATTCTTAACCCTAACTGTGATACTTAAATATATGGGATATTTGTTTGTTACATTGACTTTCCATAAGTGAGAATCAAGTTTGGTTCAATATGCTCCGTATCTTGGATAACAACATTGTCTGCATGATATCTATTTATTAGCATTAGGGCACCGTATCCTAGTCATCCAGGTTGATGACGTCCCCTTAAGGAACTCATAGGGACTCATAAGGATTATCGTATTAAACCCTGCAGGTGGATTTAATCTGTATGATAATGAGGTTTAGTGGTAGTACATAAAGAATAAAAGATATTAATTAATTAAAGCAGTCAGAAGCTTTAATAAATAATGGATGTGTAATATCTTAAACACAGGGAATTATATTGAGTCCAATAGAAGCCTTATTCATTCTAAGATAGAACGAGAGTGCAATATTAATTCTCTAGTGGAATGAATTAGTATTTATGAGCCAAATTGTTTTTGGGGCTGAACATAAGAATTTGGTCCCGTAGAGAGCCCAAGCCCTATACCTTCTTGGAGATCTCTAGACTATACCAAATGACATCTATAAATACCAGAGCTTTTTCATCTTCAAAACCCTAAGTTCGTGAGACTCATCAACCCGCACCATTTAGGGTTCGCGAGTGACGACTGGGGTTCCTGAGAACGAGCAACAACCCGATCTTTGCAACCGTTTGCGGGATCGTCGTCCATCCGGTGTTTAGACCTAAGACGAGATACAGTCTAGAAGATCGCATGACTAAATCAAATCCTCCATTTTAAGGTACCTCTCTATTCATACTTTAGGAGCATGCTTAATTTTAGTCGAAATCATGTATGTACGTGTTTGGTGTCCGATAATGATCTATGGGAACGGACTGCCTACACTAATGGACTCTAGCAAACTTTACCTCTGACAAAGGTAGCTTAATAAGGGTTTGTGATCTTATTAATCAGGGTAGCCAAGATTGGGATAGAGAGCTGATTTTTCAGTCCTTTGACCCTTTAACTGCTCAGGCTATTCTTAAGATCGTTTTAAGTCACTTAGGGATGAGAGATAAGCTACCGTAGAATGGGAATAGGTCTGGTGTATTTTCTATCAAGTCTGTTTCTGAAACTATTTTGAAGTATGGATAGAAAGATCTTAATCTAGCAGGAATCAACAACAACTTCAACCAAATTCAGAGGATGTGGCGATTCACATGGAAGTTGCCTATTCTAAGCAAGATAAAAGACTTTCTTTGGAGGTGTTGGAATGGTTTTGTAGGCACTATCTTGCGGTTGAGAAAGAGAGGGATAAGGAGGGATGTGACATGTGAGGTGTGTGGTGAGGGGGAGGAGGACTTAAAGCACAATTTTTCAAGTGCTAAAGGGCTTTAAAGTGTTAGAAGCTAGTTGGGGTAAGTTGGTCTAAGCTGGATAGATTGAGAATCGGTTTTAGGGAGTGGTGGGTGGATACTTGTTGTATAGATAATTCCAAATGCCTCAAAGACATAATCAGTCTCTCAACCTATCTTCTTTAGTAGCTTTGGAAAAGTAGATATTCATTAGTTTTTTAGAAAAGTTAGATTAAGGAGGAAAGGATAATAGAGTGTACTAGAGGTGATAGATTAGAGTTTTTAGTTGCTGAAAATGGGGTAAGAGCTGAGATGAGAGGGGAAAGTGGTAGTAGGGCAGTTTTGGTGGAAACCGGTTCTAAGAGGGGGTTGAGTAGGGTGGCTTTCCAAGGTGATTAGAAGTTGTAAGAGATGTATTTAGGGACTTACTGGAAGATTAGTGGAGGCTTCTCTGGCGACTTTATGATGGGAAATAGAGGAGGCAAAACAGAGAAACTGTAAGAAGGTTTGCTTCTGTGTGGAAGACAACAGATTGGTGGACAATCTTGCTAGCAAAAGGTTTTCTGGGGTTGTAGCAGAAAACATTTGTGCTTTGATTGTTTTGTTTGATTTTTGTTCTTTTTCTTTGGATGGTTTTAGATTTGCTAGTTGTAATTTGTTAGCCAAAAGGACTATTGAAGGAAATCACAAGAAAATCGTGTGTTTAGTTGCTCCATGTTGGAGTAACTTATTTGGCTTTGTACTTAGTTAGGTGCTATTATATTTAATCTTGAGAAATTTACCCCTTTTACTGTTAAGTTGCTAAATAATATTAATAGTACGAATGGGGTATCTTTTAATCATAAATACGAGATGTTTATTTAATTAAGGAAAACTATAATAAAGATTTCCTTCCAAATTCCCAACCAAATCTCGCTCCTATTCTCTCTCTCTCTCTCTCTCTCACCCTCATCTTTCTTCTTCTTTCGTTCTTTCCAAAACGCAAATCCCCAATTTCTTCTCTACAATTTCTCACAACACACAATTTATCAAATTTACATACATAGACACAATATAACAAATATTATCATTTATACGATCAGAAAAGAGTTCAATCAAAATGAACTTGGTGTTGGGTTTTTTTTCACAACTACGAGATTTATTCTGCCCCTTTGAAATCTCCTTCTCTCTCCAACCAATAAACACGTATTTAATTGCTTAAATCTCTCACCTTGAAATCTCCTTCTCTCTCCAACCAATAAACACACATTTAATTGCTTAAATCTCTCACCTTGAAATCTCCTTCTCTCTCCAACCAATAAACACACATTTAATTGTCGAGAGGTGTCTCAGATTCATGGCTGATTACGGCGACACGACCAGATGGTGTCTCAGATTCATGGCTGATTACGGCGACACGACTCAAGAAACTCATAGGCGAGCGACACGACTACGACCAGCTTTCAACCAATAAACACGACTACGACCAGACGGTGTCTCAGATTCATGGCTGATTACGGCGACACGACTCAAGAAACTCATAGGCGAGCGGTTGCGTCCCTGGGCTTGGGATAATGGAGGCTGGCGGAGGCCGGTGGTCGCGCGACCTGGACCGGTGGATGTTCGGCTATTCTGTTTATGTACCGTTTATGTATATAAACTGCTCTTCTGAGCGTGATGCCCGAATTTACTTGTGGATGTTTGGCTATTCTGTTTATGTACCGTTTATATACCGTTTATGTATATAAACTTAACTTCTTCTGAGCGTGATGTCCAAATTTACTTGTGGACGGCTATTCTGTTTATGTACCGTTTATATACCGTTTATGTATATAAACTTAGCTTCTTCTGAGCGTGATGTCCAAATTTACCTGTGGATGTTCGGCTATTCTGTTTATGTACCGTTTATATACCGTTTATATATAACTTTACTTTTTAAGTTGTAATGATATTGTTGAAGTTTATAATCTTTCCTTAATGGTTGTTTACTTATTGCTAACTTTTAGTATAATGTTGCAGAATAAAAAATATGTTTATATGTTGTTTATCTTATGTGTGTGTGTGTGTGTGTTTATCTACCCGGATGTTTACTACACGGTGTAATATACATTAGTTAAACACGTATGTGTGCGTATGTCTCTATTTTGTGTTTACAACCCGGTATAATATACTTTAGGTAAACACATTACTTAAAGTATGTGTGTGTAAGTCTCTTAAAAACATAAGATAAAATTACAATACCAGATAGAAAAAATGGTCCGAAAAGTGCATTTTGATAGGTTAACATCGTGCAAATAAAATATCCAAAAGCAATAGAACCATATTCCTTCACTGAAGTTCACCAGAAAAAAGGGAAAAAAGAAAAAGCAAAAACTGCAACAAAACATCATGCCAATAATACCAAAAAAAATCCAACAAAAATGCCACTGACAAATCACTACACAGGCACAAAAAACATTCCCAAAAATCCAAACAAGACAAATTCACAATTAACAAACAAGTATGAATTATAATTTGATTCACAAAATATTATTGCAACACATCTAATCACTATAATAAAGAGGAGGATTGTCATGCTCGTCGGACACCTTATGTTTTTTGTTTGATTTTCTGAACGAAGCCTCGATCCTCGAGACGACATCGTATGGTATCGCTGCGAAATCGGGGCATGCCGTTGAAGGCGGCGATTGAGCTCTCGCGGAGAATAGGGAGAGGTGGTTCTAGAGGAGTTTTGTCGAGGCGTCACCGGGAGTTTTCCGGATGAAGGGGAGGGATGTGAAGTGGCGATCCTCCGATCTATATGGCTAAGTCTCCTGTTTCATATGGTATTGGATGTCGGCTGGAGATTCATCTGGAGATTTGGCTTCGATTCTTCCTTCTGCTTCATATGGCCAAGTCTTCTGCCTCTAAATGTTGCCGGCGGTTACCCACGACTTCAGTCGATCTGTCGAGCCACGGCCCTCGGTCGGAAATTTGGCTTCAATTTTTCTGTAAGAGAGATGAAAGGTTGCTTTGGTGAGAGATGAATGTATGCACTAATATACGAGATATGGAGAGAGAACATGTGATTTATTTACATAAATATAATTAATATTACATTAACAGGTAATCAAGCCAAATTTAACCGCTTGACCTATTAACATTGTTTTAATTATACATGTAAATTTGATGAAAATTTTGTGTACTCGTAAATGTGATATTATTTAGTCAATGGCCTGTAAAAGAAGTAAATTTCTCATTCTT